TCGCAGCTGCCCACGTGTCGCTCTGCTTCCCTGGGCTGGGTGGGGTAACCAGGGCTCTGTTCAGCTCTGGAGGAAGATGTGGAGGAGGATGGGGAGGATCTGGAGGAGGCTCTGGAGGATGTGGAGGAGGATCTGGAGCTCTGACTTTTGCTGGTTCCTCCCCTGCAGGGATCAGCAGATTCCCTCGGAGAGCTCGCCCATCACCTGCAGCCTTCGCCGCGTGCACACCACGCCCAACACCATCACCAACCTCAGCGTGCCCAGCGTGCCAGTGCCCACCGAGTGCCTGGTCTGCTCGGAGCTGGCCTTGCTCATCCACTTCTTCCCGTGCCAGCACAGCATTGTGTGCGAAGGTCAGCCTTCACAGGTTTATTTAGCCCTTTTATTTTAATGTTTTTTAATGTTTTCTCTTCCTGTTCCCCAACTCAGACTGTCAGGAACCCTGCTGTGCTCAGACACAGAAATCCAGCTGTGCTTGGGAGGGTTTTTAAGGTGTTGTGTTGGCTGCTGACCTGGAAAAGATTAAATATATTATATTATGTTATGTTATATTATATTTTAATATTATTCTAAAATCCCTTTGTGGGTGGATCAATCCCCCCAAAATTCTGGGAACAGCCCAGATTATGGGAACATAAAGAGGAGTCAGGCATGGCTCAGGCAGCAGGTGCCAATCCCATTCTGTGCAGAAAAAAAACCTGAATCACCCAGGGAGGCCCCAGATCACTGAAAACTGACATTCCCGAGTCTGCCATGTCCTTAACTGTCCCCTGTCCTTGTGTCCCCTGTGCAGAGTGCTCCAGGAGGATGAAGAAGTGCATCAAATGTCAAGTGACGATAACCAAAAAGCTGAAACAAGGTACGGCCTGCCTGAAAAAACTCTATGTCCTGAAATACTCCCAGATAGTTTTATTTAGAATAATTGGTTTTGTTTCTATTTTGCTGCTGCTTGGGGCTGTGGGGAGGGTCCTACACACTGTGTAAAAATCAGCAGAAGTGGGAAGATGGTTTYTTCTTGTTTAACCATGTGTGTCCWGGGATTGTRGGATTYTGTGATTCTGTGTTTCTGTGATTGATTCTGTGACTGTGATCATGTGATCCTGTGACTC